TTTTATAGTTAAGGTATCTGAAGTTAGAAGGATGTCAGGGAAAAGTAACATTGTTTTTAACAGACTAGTACTTTACTTAAGTATTGAAATAGTGTTTTGTATTTTGTGTCATTTTATAGTTAAGATATCTGAAGTTAGAAGGATGTCAGGGAAAAGTAACATTGTTTTTAACAGACTAGTACTTTACTTAAGTATTGAAATAGTGTTTTGTATTTTGTAGCATTTTATAGTTAAGATATCTGAAGTTAGAAGGATGTCGGGGAAAAGTAACATTGTTTTTAACAGACTAGTACTTTTGTTAAGTATTGGAATAGTGTTTTGTATTTTGTGACATTTTATAGTTAAGGTATCTGAAGTTAGGAGGAGGTTAGGGAAAAGTAACATTGTTTTTAACAGACTAGTACTTTTGTTAAGTATTAGAGTACTGTTGTACATTTTGTGAAGACTTAAAGATTACTAGATAATCGCTGTCAAATACAAAACCCATTGCATTCCTGTACTATGTTCAGGCCCACTGAGAAGGGAGGGGCAACTACCCTGGGGCCCATGCATGCCCAAGGGCCCATAAAAAGTGCCTCAACTTTAAACTCTACTTTTTAAAAGTTTGCATACTCTTAACCTAAAAATCCATAGATCAGAAAAACTGATGTGAAATTAGTCTACAAGCCAAGTTCAAAATGCATAACTTTGGACTGAATAAAGGAATTTCCTTCAAACATAGTTATAGCAATAGAACATTGAAAAACTGCTGTTAATGCTAATGCAACTGACAGTAAAAACAAAGATTTTTGAGTTGAAGTCAAAAAAAAAATTTTGCACTAAAGAGATATTTGTGCGCTTTGAGTGCTTTCCAGCTTACCGTTCAGCAAACTAAAACTCATCAAGAGCTTCTTGAGGAGCACGATGACACAGGAGAGACTGAATGACCTAGCCATCCTTAGTATTGAGAGCGAACTTGTGGGGAGAATTGACTTCAGTGAAATAATAAAAACATTTGCTTTAAAAAAGGCACGTGAAGCATGTTTCGTTTAGTTATCACAATTCTGCATTACTGAACTCATTAAAGTGATTCTTGACAATGTGTTTAAACTTTCAGTAAATTATCCAATGTTTAAGTTTTTCTTTTCTCAAAAATGATATTGTTGAGTGTTAAAGGCCTTTGTCCACGGAAAATTTCACAAAGGAAATCAGCACATTAAGTCATAACTTAATGGTATTAAGACTTAAAATATTGTTAAAATTACTAAAATTCTAGAGCTTCCCTCTTGGTCTCCCATCAGGGGCTCAGCTGCTGGATCCCGCTGGGGGCTCGAGGCGACCCCAGCCCCAGGGCTTGCAGCCGCTCTCGACAGCCCTGACTAAGTTGATTTCCCATGAAGACTCATTAAGATTATTTTATAATATTTGACCATAATTAATGTCAAAGCATTAGTCTCTCTGACATCAATCACAAAGGTATATATATTGTTTTGGGATTGAAATTCTGTTAAATTTTATTTTGTACTCTTTTTGAGGCAATACATCTACAAACTGATGGTGTTAAAACTGAACATTGTTTCAGAATAGAGCACCATTTAAGTATTAAAATAATGTAATGTTTTTGATGATAGATCACAAAAACAGCAATTTTATCATTCTATAAATGAGAATATGGCATTTTTGCATTAATTTAAAATTCAAGCATACTGCCTCATGATATAATATTTTACATACCAGAAGTTCATTGTGAGCAACATGTAATAATCTGTATCTTCAGAATATGGATCTCTGAATTGCTGGCATAATGAAAGCCTACCCAAGTGCCCTTGCGACTCTTTTTGTAAATTTTAGGTCTAAGCCCAAGCTTTAAAATAATGCAATTGAGTATAGTATGATAATATGTAATATACATAAATTTTCTTCATAACGATGCATTTACTTTCTAAAATCTGAGGCAGAGGAGGAATCAACCTACAGGAAAGGTGTAAAGTGGACTTATTAGGCCTAAAATGTGTAAAACTAATGACACATGTACAGGGGTAGTTCATTATTGGAGACCTTTATTCTGCAGATACAGCTAATCATGTAAGGGTGATATATGGACCCCATGCTAAGGAAAAAAATTGTATTTTAGATCTCAAAGACTCCGCATATGGTATGTGAAAACAGGTTTAGCACCCCTTAATTGTCATGATTAACATAAATTTGAACTGTATATTTGGAATCTATATATTAAAGGATAATAATCTGGTTATTTTAAAACTTGAAATGCTTTTCATAGTTTTTTCAACAGAGATCAATGGGCCATTCATTGTTGTGTATCTGGCATATCCAGGATTTTCTTTTCAAGCTCTCAGAAGATCTATAGTCTTAAATTAACTGTCTTGTCAACTAAGCTAGGGGTTCCGAAACCTATGATGCATCTGAGCAGCCAAGAGATTTTCTGTGGCTTGTGCTTAATTAGAGGAGTTACTATCGTAATATATTTCAGTAACATAATATAATAGTTAAGGACAAGAAATCTGTTGGTCATGGCATCCATTGAACTCTGAACTGAACTTAAGCAAAAAAATACTCAAAGTCAGCCCTTGTGATTGAAGTGTGTATCAATTCTTCTGTTAAACTTCCTTTAATTTGCTGTATCCACCCATTTAAAAGGCCTACCAATCTATTAGAAAAATAAAACTGACTTAGCTGAAAATAACTTCAACCTTGCCAAAATCTGCATCCAAACCTAGTTCTGTTATTTTTACCATTAAGATGATGCATTGACACTGTTAGTTCCATTAACAATCTTGTAGTGCTATTTTATTTATTTTTGTTGCTGTCGTTCTTCTGTTCGTTTAAAAACATTTTAGGATCATAACTTTATAAATAATTTTAAAATAAAAATATACTTGTATAGTGTGTCTTGTTCTGCAACCTATATGTATGCCTCAGTCTTGTGGTTTGCTAGTGCATCACGACCCACAGTTTGTTAACCAATGAATAAAGCTTTTGTTCATTCTTAGTCAGTCAGGCTTAGTGTTATTTTGCTTCAGAATGATGTTCCATGGCCTCCTCATTTAGAACCTGTGGTAGACATTATGGTAAATAGTGTTTCATGTCTTGGTTTGAATAATTATAATGTGTTTTCACTAAGTTTGTTCTACCAGGGCCCAAAATAGGAGGAAGTTATTCTAATATCTTCCTTTGTGCCTGCTAGACTGTTCCAAAATTGTTCCTGTATTAGAAATTGTTGGTTTGGTCTTTACACTAAAATGCAAAAGAATTACAAGTGTGATTGAGTTACTTGTTCATGGATGATTTTGTTTGAGTGGTGGAGAGAAAAGATTGGATTTAGAGACCTTAATATGAAGTGTAACAATGTAATCTTTTGGAACCAAAATATAGACTTTTTCTTTTTGGAAAAATTATTTCTTTATTAAATTTATTTATAAGGTTTTGATCTGATGTGTGTCAGTTTCAATTTATCTAAATATTTTCGGTAAGTATGTGTGTGTGTGTGTGTGTGTGTGTGTGTGTGTGTGTATATTACTGTTTAGAGTCTTGATGCTTTGGTGAGTGGAGGAATTATCTCAATAGGACATACTGTGTTCTATTATCCCTTTTATTATGTTTTTTAATAAAGAAAGTAATATTTGCACATTTTTTACATTGCATCATTTTAGTATTTTGATTATCTTCAAACAGGACTTTTGCATGGTTTTATGATTGACGAAACTAATAAGACATGAAATACCAGTGGCGTCTCAGGTAAGGTGTATACTATAATTAATATACTTGTTTTATTTCTTTTTTTTTTGGTTTGTTTAAGAATTTTCGTAGATACATATTGAATAGTTCAATAATTATTCTTATATTTATAAAACATTATAGTAATTTATCTCTTACAAGATACATTTAAAACTGAAGTCAAAATTAGGTCATAATCTATCTCCAGTATTTCCTTCAGCAACAGTAAACTATTTCATTATATTGCAGCATCTACTTGTTTCTAAACATTTTCTGATTGCAAATGACTCGCACTTTGAGATTGACTTTTTTTTATCAGTTTTTAGTTTAACTACAAACAATATAGTTTTTTCTGGTAGCCTGTGTTTAGAACATTCCATTATAAATCTACAATGTTATTATTTTGAAGTTTCCTGGTGTCTTTGAAATGTTTGTTTCCTTAAGTCTTGTTTCATGTATGTATATTTTTTCATGTCCAGACCAGTGATTTTTTACTCATTTTCACTATAATACCTCTTGCAAATTAGATATTTGATGAAGTGCCATAGAGATCTGATTAAGTTTTAAACTGCAAAAATCATTATCATAGATATGAAGACTCACCCACTGATTGTAAAACTCATGCAACTAGGACTCTTGTAATACTCATGTTGTTAAATGAGCAGCTTTCTATAATATATTGTGCTTGTTTGAATGGCTGAATCCAGATCATATTGATCCAGAAAATGCACCATATAGCACCATTTTGCTTTATTGAATAAAACATTTTCTGGGGATCCATGCCCTCAGCTCTCCTTGAGCATTTGAAGCACTTTATTGCATGCTAAAGTTTTACTTTTTCAAAGTTTCACTCAGATTCTTAAAATTTGTCAGCACTCTAGTAAAATCATTTTTGTTAGAAATATCTTCACAAATTTTATAAAATATTTGTATATCCTGTTGTTTTTTTAACTTCATAGTAGCAAATAACGATTAACATCTGAGTTTGTTTGTCTTGAAAAAGGTTGTAATATTAGCGATTGAATAGCTGTACAATATTGCATTGTTTCGGTTAGCTGGAACTGTGTGTTGCATATTATTGTGGTCCAGTGGTTAGCATACCAAACTCTAGATCTAGGAGTTAATTGTGATCCATCACACACACACACACAAAAAGGGAATCTACAGATTAGGGCCATGGGTGCTCTATAAGAGTGGTGATCAACTTCCACTATTCAATCAGACCAGAGTAGTCCAAGAGAGGGCAGGGTAGGCATCTCTATTGGCTATAGACAGGGCCAGCAGTGGAGGCAATTAACTCAGATTTATAGGATTGAGCCAGTGTAATGCAGTTTCTTCCTTTGTAGGTGTAAGCTTAGTGCCTCTATACTTAGGATGCACCTGGTATACTGCTAGATGTTTAGGAGTTACATTTTCTTCTTACTTCTTTTGTAGAATGTCTTATGGGGTTGCATTACCTGAGCTGCAATAAGATTCTGTCAAGGTCACATGATACATATATACGAAGTTTCAGGATTTACAAATTTCCTGTTGAAATTAAAACCTAAATTATAGACTAAGTTGTGATGCCAGGTTTATTAATAAAATTGATAATAATTTTGATTAAATTTTGAATTCAGCTCTGTAGGTCTCGACATGTACTTTAACCCTCACCTGTATGTATAAGGTTAATACCTTGACATCATTCAAAGATAAATTTGCATGGTATAGAAGTAGGAAGCATTTATTATTATGATATCCCTTGAACCAAGAATAATTCTACATCTCCCCCCCCCCTATTTTTCTTCAGTAAAATCTGGGTAGGGGTCAGTTTTTTACAACCGTGAGAGTTGATGGTAGGAGCTGTTAACTAACTGTTGTCACTCTAGACTTATCACTTCAAAATTATGGGTTGTTAATATAGATCACCTTTGAGTAGTTTTGTGAGAAAATCTGAAACAAACAATACTTATTATTGTTCATATCACCCTACATATTATGATAACCTAAGGCATTAGATGTTATTGACTTTTTTTTGAAGTCCCTTGAAACTTTTGTTTGGTCTCGCATCAAACAAAAAGATCAGATATCTGCTAGCAAAACATTGGTCTTTTTAACTAAGTGTCCATTTAGTCCACTGAATGATAATGGACTATTAATTGTGGTGGTATGTAAACAATTAAAGTATTGTAGGTTATTAATGCTGAGTAAAGGACTAAACCAAGCAACTTAGAACTATGCTAGTTTTTTGTGACATAAACCTTACACTTTGTATAACTGGGAACTATTTTTTATAATATATTTATCTTATAACTTAGATTCTGTCTGGTAACCCTACAATTGTGTGTTACTGTAATAGTTATTGCTCAGGTTAGTCGGTAACCCTACAGTTGTGTGTTGCTGTAATAGTTATTGCTCAGGTTAGTCCAGTTGTCCATATTATAAACTGGATTTATGCTTTATATGGTATTCCTGATAACACTCGTACATGTAAGTACAACACAATGTAATATGCTTTATGACGTGTACGAGTGTTATCAGGAATATCAAAGTACAACACAGTGTAATATGCTTTATGTGATATTCCTGATAACACTTGTACACATAAGTACAACACAGTGTAATATGCTTTATGTGATATTCCTGATAACACTCGTACACGTAAGTACAACACAGTGTAATATGCTTTATGTGATATTCCTGATAACACTCGTACACGTAAGTACAACACAGTGTAATATTGAACCATTTGATACGTATTGCTGGTTTCACATATCCTACATTTACCTGATAACCTATAACTGGTTACTCATTATTGGTGATTTTGTTGTAAGATTTACTGAAGCTGCCTTGATACTTCCATCATCTAAGTTCTTGTCGAGTTAACTTGAAGTGCTAAAGCTTTTGTTATTACAAATTATTGTACGAAGTATTACTCACAAAGCTTGAACTAATATATCCTTACATAATATTTCGTTTGTAACAGGTTACAAATTAGAAAGTTAGTAAAATTGTTTTCTTAAAAATCAGATCTGGACAGATAACTAGATCAACTAACATAATCAATCATGGTTTTATCTATGAATATTGATTACATTAATTAGTGTTTCTGATTATTACCATTCTTAGTTATTTTAACTATCTAAGTAATTTAACTATTGCTATTATAATTCTTCATTATTTTTTATTAATTCAAGGTTATTCAGCTTAATTGATTATTGCCATGACACACGAAAATAATCGACAAATCAAAATTAGTGTTTCTCTGACTATTATTATTTTTAACTACTCTAGCTATGTAAGAATAATTGATTAGTTTATTATCAAATTCCATTAATTGTCCAGCTATATTAAGTATACAGAAATTAGTCCTAGTGAAACTGTATACAAGCGTGCTCTAAAAGTGTTTAAATTCAATAATGTTTATAGTAATTAAGTAGTTTATTCTGTATAGAATATTTGGATGTATTATTGTTGAAAGACTGTAATTTTCCTGTTGTAAATAACTGTTTATTATATTAGTCCTGAATACGGTGCTGGAGTGTACTGTGTGACATTGCTACCAGGAGCTGTTCTCGTAGGATATTTACGGTATTTAGGCTCTGTTAGTGGTGAGTCAATAATGTGTTAAGCTATCTTTATCCTGAGATTATGGTGACAATTGGAATTTCACATTTTTATTTGGTGTCTGAATCAGATATTGAAGAAGTCAAAGAAACTGTAGAAAAAATATCTTTTAGGACTAAGCTTGTCATTTTACTTCTTTGAATTATATCTTAAAATCTTAACTCCTAAATCTATTTTACATGTGTGATAATTCAAAGTGTGATATAGTTCCTTAGGATTACTCATGTAATTCTTAAAAGCTTAATATTTAATTTCAGTTTGTCATCCTCAGTATAAGCTTTTAAAAATCTACTTGGTAAATTACTTGGCATGTTTTCTATCAAAGTAAATTATTTAAATACACTGAAACTAAGTTACATGTACTTTACAGTTTAATAAATGATTAGCTTGTCTAGGTTTATAAGCCCAACAGATGTCTTATTTTTGAATAATATATAGTCCTTCACACATTAGAAGTTTTGATGAGCTAGCCAAACTGTCTATAAATGTTTTACACTCCAAGCTGATGAATTTTTAATTTTTTTTGTGGTTTATTCAAGCTAGATGTTTTATGGAAATTATTTTGCAGGAAATTTTAGAAGTTTAATAGTGGTTTCACTAAAGGAATATCTTGCCTTACAAATTTTTTGACACTGTTTGAAAAGGTTACTGCTTATGTAAATGAGGGTAAGAGTGTAAATTTGGTATATCTGGATTTTCAGAAAGCATTTGAAAAGATGCCATATAATGGGCTTGTAAAAAAAAATATCTCTATAGGTGTGGAAGATAAGTTAGAGAATTGGATAGAAGAGTGGCTGGATGTAAGAAAGCAGAAGGTTGTTACAAATGGAGTCCAGTCAAAGTGGATTAATGTCACAAGTGGGGTACCTCAGGGCTCAGTCTTAGGACCTTTGCTCTTTTTGATTTACATCAATGACATGGATAATAGAATGATCAATAAATTACTTAAATTTGCAGATGATGTTAAGGTCTTGGGTGTTGCTAGCTGTGAAGAGGATGCTGTTAATTTACAAAAGGTCTTAGATCATTTTGTGAGTTGCG